ATCAAGAATGCGGAAGGAAATCCGCAAACTGATCTGCCTGTCTTGATGGAAGCTGACACCATGGACATGGGTGTCGAGAATGAGAAGCCTGGTGGCATTGGCATCGGGGGTGTGGCCAATGCTGGCATCCAGGCAGCTGGAAACTCGACAGCCCATGACATTGACCCTGGCTCTACTCAAGACGACAAGATGGATGTTGACTCAGACCCAGATGCCAGGGATGATGTGGGAATTGAACTAGAAGCAACCCCAGGAGACGCTCTGTACTCATTGCGCAAGTTGGCGCATGATCCAACCTTAGCTCCACTGCGTTTCACCTCTTTCAGTTGTTGAAGTCGAAGTCTAAGTGTCATTTGTGTTCACCAGCCACACTTAGAATCGGGACTCGGGACTATGGTTGCCAAGGAGCAAGCCAAGAAGTTGATTGAGAAGTTCGGGGCTTCTACTTTGGCGGTTTCAGTGAATAGTCTGCCAAGATCAATTTCCCTCATGTCGGGCTGTACTGGGTCAGGAATGCTGGAATTGGTTGCTCACGCTCTCATTGCGGAAATGAATGCAATCTGGGCGGGCGATGTGTGCGACCCAATCTGTGTGACTCAGCAGACTTCAGCTTTTGATGGGTTTGGACTGGACTGTGAACTGTTAGGCTTTATGCTCAACTGCTCAACTTGAAGTTTGTTGAAAATTGAAAGCCAAGAGTTAAAGGAATGAACATGTTGCGCAGGTCCGAACAGTGTTCATGTGCGAGATCACGCCTTTCAAGCAACAGTTTCTCCGATGCAGCATGAAGTTCTTGAAGGAGGCGTGGTTCATCATGATGAATGCATGATGCATGCATGGTGAATTATTTGCTCAGAATCTGAGATGATGAGAGTTGGAAGTGCTGCTTGTGTGCCACTGTCAGCAAATTCAATCATCAACTATTGTTTTGGTTGGCGCAGGAGTTTGGGCAAGATGAAGATGATGATTGCTATCCATGCTTGTTCGATGACATCACTAAGTTAAAAAGCAATCGACGTTGCATTGTGCACAAGGGCGCATGTGTACTTTGACGTCAAGTCAATAGTCATAGACCTCAACCCGTGATCCGAATTGTAGTTTGTGTGTCTATGTTTCATTTCCGTATATATCACAATGTTCACTGAGGCCCTTCCACCGGAGAAGTCTGACCCCACAGCCACAGATGAATTGACCTTGTTCACAGCGGGATTTTCCTGCAAGTCTTTTGGTGGCAGCTGCCTTGAATTGTGCATTCATTCTTGAGTAAGTACTAAGTACTCCAAACCTGAATTTGAATGGTGCTAGGTCTTGGTCGAAGATGAATTCAGACTTCACAGTCTTCAAGAATGCGCTCCGGGACAACACAGTATATGTCTCAGCTGTTCCGGGACCACACTTATATATAATATATATATATACATGTGTAAATATACATATATGTTTATTTGTGCACTTGCTCACAGCAACTGCTTTGGTGCGCAATTGAGGATTGCACTTCCCTTGCAACTTTTCGCGGGGTTTGTGATGTGGCAGAAATCTCCAAGCCAGATTTGATGCTTTTGGAGAATGTGGATTCAATGGATACTGCCAGTTCCAATTCAGTCCAAGACGAGCGGGAGTAGAACACTCAGTGGAAAGCTGAAACAGCTAGTTGAATCAAGTTGTTGAACCATAATCAAACCAAATCCTTTAAGTCAAAAGTCAGAAAGCAAGTTTAATTTGCTACGCAAGTGGGGCTAAATTATTCTTGGTGTTGAACGCCAGGACAAACTTGACCCTGGCATTGAACCGGCTGGGTGAAATTGGCTATGCTTGCTCCGCAAGCAAGCTCAAAGCCAGTGATTATGGTGTTCCCCAACGCAGACAACGAATTTTCATTGTCTGCCTGAGACGAGATGCATTTGCTGTTTCCTCCGACGTGATGGCCAAGATGATTCCAACCAAATTGGAAGCGTTGAAATGTCCAACTATTCCACCGCTTGTTCCCCGGCTCTCCAACTGCTTTTTTTGCACTTCGCTAGTCCTAGTGTAAGTAACTTTATTTGCCGCAGCCATTTTCCCCACAAGTCAGTGCCAATCAGCCAAGGACGATTTCCTTCTGGACAACAACTGTCAGGAAGTTAAACAGGAGCTGGCCCGTCGCTTGCGTGTTGCTGAGGACGCTAAGGCCAAAAAACGCGCAAAGGAATGTGACGATGAAACAGGCATCCAACTTGGCACTGAACGTTGGACAGACCAACACAGTGCTTTGGCAGAGAAATGCTACTTGGCTGAGAAGTGTGTGACACTGACAATGTTGGATTACCAGATTCATTTTATTCAGTTCCATGTTCCCTCTGAGTTCCTTGGTGTGCCCTGTGTGAATTGAGGTGGTGTGCAATGGCCTCTCACTCCATCAACCAGATTGAGTGAATCCGATTGGTATCAAACCCTTATGCCACGTGAGCAGGAAGACTCTTGAAGCTGAACTAGACCAATCACAGACTTGAGTTGAGTGATATGATGTGTGTTTCTTTTCTGGATCTGAATCTTAGTTAGGTCTTGTGCTTTGTGGAGCTTTGGAACCAACGTTTTGAACGTGATGGCGAACCCGAGAAGAAAATAGCATTTGCTGACATTTCCCAGTCAGCTGGACGGCTTCCGACCAGCTCAGTGCAAAGTCAGGCCCAGGTTGTCTTTTTTCCACTGCTATACCTTAGTGAGAAAACAACACCAGCGGGTGCTTGGACAGGTAGTGCCCACGATCCTGCCGAATGCAAAAATGTGGGATGTGAAGCGAGGTCGATTGCTTTTAGGCGTGGTAGGTACATGTGATGTACTACAAACCTACAAACCTACAGACTACAACGTTCCAGATTCAAATCGTACGAGCGACTTGACTCTGACTTAATCTTAGACTTTGACTGGAAGTTGCACTTGTTTGACTTGTGTGCCTTTTGTATGTTGTTTTGTTTAACAAGTTGTTTTTTCTCGCAGGTCAGGAAATGATGGCGTTACAGGGGCTCTACATGTCAGACCTTCGAGGCTATGTGCCTGCTGGTGTGACTCAACACCAAATTGGAGATCTGGCAGGAAATGCGTTGCTTGTCTTGCTAGCTGAAGCTTTTGGCCAACATTTCCATTTGCCTGGCTGTATGTGTAGTATGTATGGCTGACACTTGAGGTTCGCTGCTCACTGCGTGATGGCGAATCTTCTGTCAATGTTTTGCACTGTTCGGTTTGACACACCGAGTGAAGATGAGGAGATGGAAAACATCACCTCTTGTTTGCGGACTTGGCAGCAACGACAAGAAGTCAGTGCCTACAAGCCGCCAAGTGATTGAAGTCACTTGAGCCGAGCCGAAATCGCCAAGTGCCAAAAGAAATGGTACACGGTACACCAGGGCCGAGGGCTGTTGGCTTAGCGTCCTATGATATCGTACATGTTTTGACGCATGTCCTTTGCCCGTACTAGCCTACTGTCCCATGAGCTCGTACCCATTTTGGCACCTGTCCTACATACGCACCTTAAGTTTGTACCCGTTTTGGCATTTGTCCCTCATACGTACTAGCGCACCGCGCCTTAAGTTTGTACACATGTTGGCCCGCGCTGCATATGCGTTCCCAGCGTACCGCACTGGAGTTCGTACCCCTGATATCATGTGAATAGGCATGCCATTGAGCATTGCTCTTGAATTTTGATAACTGTAATATATATTTTCTGTATATATATATATATAGATATCGTCAACTGAGTCACGTTCACTTATGAGTAGCAGCGTTTTATTGACTTGCTTTTTGGTTGTAATGTAGATTCTGAAGGTGCCTTTGTCAAGATTTTTGAAATCATTTTTGGCATGATTCAATTAAAGCCCACCATCCACCATGATCCCCAGCCCTAGCTTCGGACAGACGGCACAAGTTTAGCACCTCCGGACAGACGAGCGGACCGAGACACCGGCCACCACATTCTCCCTGCAAAGGCTGGCTGAGATGGCTCCTGCTGCACCTACTAGTGCATTTGAGTGCCTCAGACACGTCTGGTGCCTTTACGAGAGAGAGAGAGAGAGACAGAGAGAGAGCTGCCGGTGACAGCATCATCAAGTAATATTTTGGAACTGAGACAGTGAAGACGGCAAGGCAAAACCTGGAAACCATGCCCTGATCAGCTGTACACTGATGTTGGTGTTTCGCAGCTTTCACAAAGGCCTTTGCCTCTCAGCTCCATGTAAGGCTTGACGTTGATGTCAAGCTCTATACGGATTCCAATTGCCTTTTTCCGCCATGAGCTCAAGCTGCGATGTTCTATAAGACGGTTGCTGGGGCTGTTGTGGCTCCAAGTTCGCTACAGACACTGCCGCTTTGAAATTCCGACCGCTCTCCAACCGTTCGGAGAAGACGGTGTAGACGGTATCGACTGAAACCTTCATTTCGACTGCTTCGTCACTTCGGCCCAGGTATACCGACATGTTGCTCCTAGACGATGGATGCTATGCCAACTTGTACACAAACCAGACAAAGGCCGGCAGCCAACCGATCTCGATCGCGCTCTCTCTCTCTCTCTCTTTCTCTCTCTTTTCCGCCTCTCGCTTGCTCGGCATGTTGGATTAGTTTCCGCAATTGGCCGTTAGGGCCTGCATTTCTTTGCATTTCTAGCCTTTTCGTGCCCCTTCAACATGTGTAGTCGTGTATGGTCTCCGAACTAATGGTCTTTAGTCGATTTCCTCTTTTGGTCTGTCTCAAGGCTGCCTGTTCGAAGGAAGGTGGTGGCTGTGCCATCAACCATTCGGTGCGAGTGAAAGAAATTCCAACGATTCGACCAATAGGAATTTGCATGGTTGTCACCCACATGGATTGGTGGTGGGGCAGCCTTGTTGAATCTAGACAAGTGCGCAAGGCCATGTCCATCAATCGTTCTCATCATTCTCCACGACTCCCAATTCTGGATTTGTCCCCTGCTTCCTTGTTTATCTCAAATCAGCCCTCAAGCCTCGTGGAGCAAAAATGCCCTCGTGGTTCACATGGCGTTAGAATTGAGGGAGGCCGAACACCATGGCCTTCGCTCGGTGTCAAAAGCCTCGGGTGTCACCGTGACGCGCATGGCGGAGTCACGTGCGGTCTCGTGCGTCCTCGCGCCGCCGAATCGGGAGAAAAGGACCCCTTGGCTCGGTCGGTCTTTTGTCCTTAGCTTTCCACTTTTCCGTCTCAATTGAGGGAGTAAGCTACTAGCTACATCTAGCTACATCTAGCTACTAGTTCGCTTCCAGCTGGACGCAGGATAGCAAGAACGCTTCTTTGGAAGAAGCGCACGTTCCATCCGCACTCTTCCAAGTTTGGTTGAAAGAATCGGCCCGGCGGCGAGGCTTTCAAGGTGAGGATCGTGGGCTTCACCGGAGTCTCCAAGTGCCGAAACGGATGATGCTCGGAGCTTCCGGCGGAACGCGGCTCCCCTTGGGTCCAGATGGGTCGACTCGTTTGAGGCCAAGCTGCTTGTGAAAGGAGTTGGGTTGGAACAAGGAGTTGGGTTGGAAGACCAGTTCCTGATTCCTGTACAACACCAAATTCAATTATAAGGATTTATTCAGGCCTTTTCAAAGTTCTTCACTTCGATGCACCTTCCATGTTTGGTTTTGGGAGTTCTACTATTCTACTCTTTGAGGGAACCGCCGGGAACCCTCCACGGGATTCACAAGGGCTGGTTAGTGGACACCGTAGATGAACAAGTGAACACCTGGCCTTCAAAATCAGGTACGATGTCTACGACTACACGGACGCCTGCCACACACTCTATCGCCCAAAGAGGAGGGCCCTCGGCTCGGACAGATCGGCTCGGCTCGTTCCATTGGGCCGCCAAACGAATTCTCGCTGCTTCGCTTGTGCTCAACATGGAGTGATGAGTGAATGTTCAATAAGTGTGGGAAAAACACAGCACTTATACTATCTTATACTTGCAAGCACTCAATTGGCACTAGAATCTTTCATATTTATATACTAATCATGTATACAGTAGATTATAGTAGCACTCCAATTTCTCGCCAGAACAGTTAACCAGGTGTTGGTGGTTCTGGTATGGGTCCTTGCTTGCTGTTGGCACCGTGTCTCAAACGAAAAACCGTCCGCTGGGCGAACCGGGCGTTCAGGACCTTGAATGAGGGGCAGTGTACGCGCTTCGCAGTGGGCGGTGCCGGCCTGACAACGGACTGGGATTGGGTGCACCGGTGATGCCCTGACCACTTGGACCAAGTTGAGCTTGGGGCCCGACAGGCCCGACATCTCTCAAAGCGTGCGTGAAACACCAAGACGATTGGGGGGGTAGAGGACGCTACTAGGAGCAAAGGGTATCGCTACTAGGAACAAGGACGCTACTAGGAGCTTTTTCAAGCGGACGATTGGGTGGGAGGGTTTCAATGGGGTCATGTCACCGCCCAAACTGTGGCCGTTTTCACCCCAAAAGCCACTGAGGCTACTTTGCCGAGTTGCGAAGCCGCCTGAGATCCTCCACATGTGTGGTGCTGTCCTTGGAGAGCAAAACAACTGTTCGAGTGGCCATCCAAAATCCCTGGGAGAAGACGAACTCTTCGATGCAACAAAAGCATCTTAGGAAGGACCAAGTTGTTGTATTCTAATCGGATTGCAACACCTTGTATGGAATCCGGTGAAAGAAATTGTAGACTTTCGTAGGCAGTTTTCAAATCTTTGGCTTGCAGAGCGGTAGGGGAAATTGCAGCACAGATCGATTTCGATCCGTGCGCGGCCACATCCAATGAAGCGGAAACGGCTCGATGCCATCAGATCGAAAGGAATATATATATATACATATGAGAAGATGAGATCAACCTTTTTAGAGTTTTCAGAGGTATCTACTCTTACATGTTCCTGCTTTTCCAAATGAGACCAACATGACATACATCTCCTCTAGACGAGAATTGGACGTTGTTTCTCACCATTTGGTGACGAGTATGCAATAGGTGTATTGGGGCAACAAGACCGCTGGACATTTGCAATCTCCCCACCAAAACTCCTACGTCGCTGAAGCATGTTAGAGATGTTGAAGTTCCATGGCCACCCGGCGACTAAGACAATTTGCAAATTTGTATCCATTTATAGACATTTTACTTCCAGATTGCAGGCAGGGCCCTTTCCACGTTTCTCGGTGCAAAAACCTGTTAGTCGGCCAGGGCGACAGCTGCTCCCGCATGGCGGCCACTGGGCGAAAAAAAAGGGTCGGAGAGACGGAAAAACGGGTTTCATTGACCAGGGGCGAAGAGGGGTTAGACCTGAAGAAAAACATATCACTTATTCGGGTGACGAAGAGGTATTCCATTTCCAACTGTTGTTTTTTGTGAATTTGGGGGGTGATTCTTATGGTTTCGTCGAAGCACCGAAGCACCTTGCACATCCATCGTGAGCTGAATTTGTGGGAGCTTTAGCAAGCGGATGCTGTTTGTTTTAGTGTTCTGCTCGGTCGTGAACGCCATGGAACTGTCCCACGGCTGCCCGGCCCGGCCCGCTCAACGTCCGTCCATCCGTTTTGGTCCACCGGTGTTTTTTCTGCTCGACTTTCGAGGTGACAACGCAGAGGTTCTATTCCGAAGCGAATTGCCTGGGCTTGCCGTACCAGGCGGAGCAAGCTTTCAACCGAGAATTGGATGGGTTCCCGGGTGGAACTGAGAATGCACCGCTTTGGGATGGTGTGGATTGAGAACTGTACGCGGATGTGCTAAAACCATCTAAAACTAGGAGCAAAGGGCATCGCTCCTAGGAGCAAGAACGCTACTAGGGGCTCCTGGCCGTACTACTAGGAGCAAGGACGGTACTAGTAGCAAGAAGCTACTATGTCTATGTTGGGATGTATGCATTTACGGCACACATGGCTTCGGCTTCGCAGTTCTCAGGCCTGTCCTTTGTTCAGACATGTTCTGGATGAAGATGCTCCAGACATGGTCTGGAACCATCAATTCACACGACCTGAACCAAAGTGGATTTGTTTGCAATGCTTTTCGTGGATGGTGGAAAGCCTGCGCTCCTTGCCAGATTTACACCTATCCTGTGCAGACAGAGTGCATGCGATGGAGTAACGGTACGCAGGCCAGCCGAGAAGTGGGGCAGAGGCATTGTTGACATGTTGAATGTACAGAGGGTACCCAAAACATCCAAATCTACATAAAAGGTAAAACACAATGACATATAATCATATATATATATATATTCATATATATATATACATCGATAATTAAACAAGCAAACATTACATAGTAATTACTACATAATCAAAACAATACACACAATAGAATATGTCTTGGATATGCTTGTCGATTGGGGATATACAAGCATTGAAGAACTGCATCACTGTATCCTCCGCAAGTCATTTACAACAGCAGAAGTTCCAATCCGACCACGCTCGCCTCCTCTGATCAATTTTGAATGCTTGTTTTGTTGTTTGGGTATGTGAAAAACGCAGGCAGAGGAGGAACATGGAGCAATAGATTCATCCAGTGCTGGTGAATTCATTTTGAGTCAGGCCGCGTTGAGGTCACATGTGTCCACCCAGTTTTTGGGAATGACATTCTCTTCTTCATTCTTCCTGCACCGGTCGCACGCGTCCGGTGGTCGCCAGACCTTCCGCGTGGATCCGACCACCACCAACGTCACGCAGGCGGCGGGAACATGTGGTGGTTCCAGGGGCGTTGGTTGTCAAAGTGATGGGTTTTTTGGATGGTGATTTTGTGAGCATGAGACTTGGAGCTCTTGCACACATTGAACCTTCACTCTTCGCCAAAAGGGTGTTCTGAATGCCATTCCAAAGGCATTTTCTGACGTGACTGTAGTGACTGCAGTGACGTCCGCCGAAATGGGCAGCTCCCTTCGCCAGCCGCTGGACATGAAGGACTGAAGGACCGAAGGACCCCACCGTGATTGGACGAACAAGGACCGCTACTTGGTACGAGTCTACAGTCTTATCCAAGGTGATGCAGAAGACGAATGATACAGAATGATGGCATCCGTTTTTGTTGCTTTCGATGTGGTGGGTGTATATGAAGACAGCACATCACTCTGACACATGAAGCTGTTTTTTCATTGGGTTTTGGGTACCTGCTCAGGTTGACTACCTTGTGAATGACAAGTGCGGTGGTGACAATGTCAGGCGTTGCTTCCGTTGGGCTTCCGTTTCGACGCGGTGTTGCTTTTTCGAGACATCATGGAATCATAGATGGGACGTCCAGTGGATATACAGACAGACTATCCGCAACGGCCGAGGGACAGTGACAGGACAAGTGGACAAGATGCCTAGAACTGCTTGGGGTTTGTCTCAACGCCCCCCAACACCGCGACCAATAGTCTGGGTCCGACAAGCAAGATCAAAAGTTGATGCGGAACTCAGCGTCGGAGCTCCGGTGAACCCCAAAACACCAGGCAGGTGGTTCTGTGAAGCTTCACCTGGCCAAGGAATCTGTGTAGACAATCGAATCTGGACTTCACAAGCTGCCTGCCCTGGCTATCCTTATCCAGGATCTATGTCATGAGCGTGGGTTACTGCTACGAGCTTTATCCTGATAGAGCTCCTCGCAGTTTCAAGTGGGAGGCGCGGTCGGGTTGCTCCGGGGCCACGGCGGAAGACGCGCCCAGCAGCGGCGAAATGGGTCGCGCTTCCAATCCGGGGAGGGGATTGGTCCGAAGGGAGGGCTTAAAGACGGTCCAGAGGCGATCGGCTTTGAGATCTTGGAGTCCACTGGGTGCAACGAGTTAGTCCTCCTTTTGGACAGATCAGAATTGGTTCCTTTGCCGTTTCGCACATCGGAATTGACAGAGACCGAAGGGCGTGACTTTTCGGAGAAAGGTGGAGAGATACGACGCGACCGTGGTGGCGGCGACCTGGAGGCGCGTGAATGTGGACGGATCCGGAAGGCTCCGAGTGGAGAGCAGGCAGCAAAGCTTCAGGATCGTGTTTATTTTTTATTGTTTTTTTCACAGTTACAGTATATTATAGGCTAAAACAATCTAAAGCATGTTGAAACTCTCATGATTGTCCTGCGGTACAGATTAGGATCAGTATAGCTACTCGGCGCTGTCATGGTTTTTCCCTTCCAAGGGGTGAAACTGTGTCACAGGCCCGTGGTGCTCCCAATGCTGGCTGCTCCAATGGCGTGGGCCCTGAGGGCTCATGGAGATGCAAAACGGCCAAATCATTCCTGAATCTTCCAACCAGACCATGCAACATTTCTGTGTTTTTGGCAGTTTTTTATGGATGAGCTGGCTGGTTTTATGGTTGGAAGATCCACAAAAACACACACATATGTGCACACAATCGCATGAAGCGCCCAAAGCTTCACATCACTCTCCATCATGGTGCATCACTGTATGTCAATCACTTCATTCTGCATAGGCGTAGCGCTCCGTGGGTAGAATACATGGTTGGTTGGAGCTTGGGACAAGATGAAGAGTGGACGAGCTAGTCATTCTGCAAAGGTCCTTTGTCGCTTTCAAAGCGTGGCTTCCGGTGGGTTAGATGAAGTCCTGTCACGTCGGACGGTTCCTGGAGTGGTGAGACTTGGGTTGAGACCATTGAGACCGAGACACCATATCGCATCAGATCTGGCAAGAACTCATTGGACCCTCTTCACATGGAAAGCTGCCAAACCCACCAACTAACTGGGAACGCTCTTGCCGCGAGCGCTTGAGGCTGGTGCGCTCTTGCACCCAGACTTCTGACGCTCGCCAAGACGGTGAGCTTGGTCGGGTGAAACACACAGCTTTCATCGGTGACTGGTGTTCGGCGATGAGTATCTCCAAGGGAGGTTGATGAAGCCTACGGCCGCCATGGCCCATTACACAGGTACTTCAAGCTTTCTGGATCTTAGGGCATTCGTGATCGATCACTGAGTTACATGAGTGGCTTCAGCATCGCCAATGATCAATGCGCCAGATACTGCAAATGTTTCACGGTTGTGCGCCCGCTGCAACGGTTTAGCAAGAACTCCTTCATCCTCTCCGTCTTTCCTTGAACATGCAAGGCAAATGTTGGTAGCCACAAGAGGAAAAACATCCAATAACTCCCGGAGACGGCAGTTGCAGCATGGGCCGCACCGGCTAGCAGCAATTTCGCATTGCTGCGCTGTGAAAAGAAGGATGTGCGTTTATGTTTTGTTTTTTTCTGGCTTGAGTCGCAAGCTCTGCTCGTAAAGGTTTTGCTAAGTTAATTTCCAATGGCTCCCTTCAAGCAAAACTGATGCCATATGTTGCCATCCATGTCCCACAAAGGATGCAATCCACAGTCAACACGATGTTGTTTTTCTTTGCCCTTTCGTCGAATTTCCCCTTCGACTCGACAGTCAACACCGTGTTTTTCAACTCAATCTGATCGCGGACCTTTTCCCCGACTCGTTTTGAAGTTATTTGAACTCTGTTGTTCTTTTCTTTAGGAACTTTTTGACCCTTTGTGCCTCTGTTTTTTAGGCCGCTGACCCTTCGACCTTTCGAAGTCCGGAGACTCTTCCGGACGTCGTATGAAACCAACGTTTTGTTGGCCGATTCTCTTTCTCTGACTGGTCGACTTGGTGGAATCCACAGCTTGTCGGTATCCACAACTTTTTGGACTTTGCGGGTTCTAAGCGGAGACATTCATTGGTGCAGGTATGAATGCTCTTGGAAGAACAGTCACACAGTTTCGAGTTCTGGCGTTTCATAATGTTGAAACTTGTTGCAGTTTGAGTTTTGGAAGATAAGAGTGACAGTGACACCATCTTGCGTTGCTCAACCCTGCCATTTAACCTTTGAAGCCGACGCTACAGAAGGCAACAACAGCAGATGGCTTTTGTTGAAGTTAAGCTTCCTGAAAGTCTCGGAGCCAAATGAATAGTGCGAGGGCTTCTTCAAGGAAGCTCCCGCAGCTTTGGCGGGGGGAGCTTCCTTGAAGAAGCGTGAGCTATCCTGAGTCCATGTAGTAGCTTCCCATTGCCAGTAGCTTACTTCTCCCTTAATCAAAGTAGGCGCCTACTTAATTAAGGGCGGGCTAAGGCTTAAAAGAAAGCAAACCAAGAGGTGAAGAGATTGAAGGCCGTCAATATCACTTCGCCTTTTAGAGGTAGTGAAGGCCGTCTCTTTTCAGCTGCCCCCCGCCGCGTCCGCGTCCGAAACGAAGACGCCACGTCCACCGGCCCCGAGACCGGGAGCAAACGGACCTAAAGGCGTGGGCGTGGAAGGTGAGCCGCCTGCATGGCGATGTATTTTGTCGATTTTTGATGATTTTTGTAGAGACGCCCAAGGAAGGGAAACACCGTGCACAATCCAAAGTAGTTGAGTAGTTCAATTCCTCAACACAGCGCGTCAGTGGACAGCATTGCTGTAAATGAATCCTCTATCGCAGCAGTCATGGATAGACTTGGGATATCAGGTTGCGCAAACTCTAGAAGTTCAACCTCGCAACTAACAAGCACAGACTTCAACACAACGAGTGAAACTCAGCCCAATTATACCACAACTTGCAAAATGCCCGGCCCCGGGAATCTGGCGATAAACACAGCAAGCACATATATATATATATATGCACATACATATTATATATATATACAGCAAGCATCAGTTTTCACGCGTGTACAACGAGATAGAAGCTTTCCTCGTTGGATCAATAGATGGATAGAAGGTTGGGTCGGTCGGTAGAGGAATGCTATAGTGCTAAAGTCAGTGCAACAAGTTAAGGGAGCCAACCTTTTGTCAGATGCGTATGAACAAGGAACCGGGATGCACCAGGCTATACAAACCTTTGAAGGAGGAAACTGTTGTTCCATGTAGTTCCGTCCGCCATAGCGATGGACCGGAAAACGACTTCGAACATTTAACAACCTGAAGACTTTGGAACTTTCTACTGCAAGAGCTTCACACTTTGTTCTTGTTTATTTTTCACTTTTTCAATCTTTTTGGGTTTCTAATTCTCTCAATGCTCGGAAGTAGGATGAAACCAACATCTCGGCGTATAAGGGTATGCATTTTTACCAGCGCAGCTTTGATCTTACTCCAGTACATACCAATATCTGAATGAAACTATTTCCAAATCACAATCTGAAAATCCTCGTTCAACATGAATCCCAGACCATGACCATCTTCTGTACATAGTGCCCCTCGATTATCCTGCCAGCATTTAAATCTAGATCTGAACAACCGTTCTTTGCAAACTCTCTGCTGCTGTATTTATTTCAGCTCTTGCATTGGCCATGTTAGGGCAAGACACATGATACATTCGATCTGGACGATGGGCCAGGCAGCACCACTGTTTCTTGATCAGGGAAGCACAGCACATCGGTACGCACTTGCTGCAACTTGGTCCACCACACCCAACATCTCACCATGGGTATCGCCCACCCCACTATTGCTCTTATTTTGATTGGGTGGGGCCCAGGCCCATCACAGTGGGCCCATCGCAAGGTAAATCTCCCTGATTCAAACCTACTATGGGTGAAGAAAGGGAGGGAACGGTTGCAGTCTACCTGGCCCACAAAGCAAGTTCTCTTTGGTTTGGCATCCTTGTTGTCTTAAGATGTAGTCAGGAGCTGGGGCTACTCACTACCCCTCCCATCTCACAACCCCCAACCTCACAACCCTCCTCAGTTTTCCCTGCTCCGATGGCATGTCACCTTCCGGTGCTTTGGCTCCTTCTTTTCCTGCTGGACACTCAGAGTCGGAACAAACGGTTTCTGGTCCTGCGAGTCGACCATATATATATATATTATATTTATGCACACGTGCAGTTAACATAACTCGGAACGACTCCCCGGCACCTGAGAGTTTGGCACGATCTTCAGTCGTTGGGGCCGCCGGCCGCGGTCACGGCCAGGCCATGGTACGAGGCGAGGGACGCGCCGGCCGAGAAGAAGGAGGTGCGAGGACGCAAGTTGAAATGGAGGTGAGACCCATGGGGATGAACCAAAGCCCGCAAATTTTGGAGTAGGAAGGATTTTGTTTTGTGCTATAGAACCATATAGGGTTCTAAGGGGAGCTATGTGGAGATGACAGAGGACTCCTTTCAACAGACGGGCACTTTGGGATGGTCAGAAACACAGTCAGAGGAGCAATTTGTCAAGACGCTGCCCCGAATAGCTCTCCAAGTTGTCCTGAAGATTCTCCTAAGCTTCTATGTTTAGCACAATAGATATAACTATGTAATAAATACATCTATAGTATATACATAGAACGTTTGGCACGTCGACCTGGCGAACCGTGGCGGGATCGAGAGACGAGAGACATCTTCCGCAGCGGGGGCCGTGGCGGCCGCGGCAGGTTTTGGTGAAGGAGTTGGTGTTGGATAGTGCTGTGGTCGATATTGTGCCTGCGCCTAAGATGTTGCGCCAACCAGAGAGCTCGGGGGCGTGAAAGAGTTCATGCCAGACTCAGCTGGGTTTGTCTCAAACCAATCAGGATGCTTCAGTTTTCAGGATTGCAGCTATTGAAGGCTTGTAACTAATAGATTGGTGGCACGCAGCCTGTGGCACGCAGATCTGTTTCCACCCTTCCGAAGCTTCCCCATCAGAGCTTCTTCAGCAGGTATTTGGGCCAGAAGCACGAGTGTCTGCTGCTGACCACAAAGAAGCAGTGCCCTGGCAGATGTTGAACTCCACACTCGGTAGTGTTGGTTGTTTTTTTTTGCGGTCGCCGATGGGATGGGTGGCATCACAACACTTGGCCCAGCAGCGAACACATTGGGTTGGAAAGCGGAAGTGTATAGGCACCAAGCGCCCGGGCCACGCCGGACCAGGCGGCTTTATTCAAGCTGCGACAGTGGTCAAAGCTGGCATGAGATCACGGACAAGGCGCCTGGATAGGGTGCAAAATTGCAGCAGGGGCAGTGTTTCTGGTGGGCTATTCAGAAGCCAAGATGCTGCCGGACACCTGGTCAAACTGCAAGTCCTGTCTCTTTGGACTTCAGAAAATAGGACCCTCGAAGGTCTACACGTTTTGGGGAACCGCAAACGTCTGCGGGCTGGATCTTCGGCAGTGCCACGTTGATGCTGCGAAACGAAAGGCGAAGGAGACTGGTCTAGTAGGCACGAAGGACACCCAGTCCTGGAGATATTCGTGGGCGAGAAACTGCCATGGCTGGTAAGTAAGGACTAGTAGCGTCCTTGCTCCTAGTAGCGATGCCCGTTGTTCCTAGTAGCTTCAGTAGTAAGGCCAGGAGCTACTAGTAGCGGGCCAGCTTTGACCACCTCTCTGCTAGGAATCCTTTGTCCGCTAAAACTCTTGGCATCAAACAGCACATGGACAGATTTGGCGCATCGGAGGTGGATACGACTCCGTCCTCCCACATTCGGGTGGAGAAGATCATCGTGAACTCGCCTGGAGAGCCTAGTTCTGCTGGACGCGTGAGTGACATGTGTGGAGCCGTAAGGGAGGGTAGTTTTGGGTCAAGAGGTCCGCTTTCAAAGAGTTGTTAAATAGACTACTACTATATTACATGGTCGTGTCTAGTTTTAGAAAGGGGAGACAAGTAGACAGCCAAACCCGTTGGGCCACAAGGGGGGGAGACAAGTAGACAACCAAACCCGTTGGGCCACAAGGGTCTCATATCCATTCAATTGAGAAAGTGGGTGTTGGTAGGGATGTAAATTGCTTGTCAGATGCTTAAACGTACTGTAGTTTACAGTGTTTGATGTATGTCATAGGCTCAAACACACAGTATAGCACACATTTGTGTTGGAAATCAATTGCAATCACAGGCACTTAAACGACATTTTAGACATAAAAAGGACCTTTCAAGGGTATTTACAGGGATCAAAAGTTATATAGAGCTTAAAAGGAAATTGATGGTGACCCCAAGGAGAATGGTGACCCTGGCCTTGCGCTCGCCTCTACTCTGACATCTTCATCGATGGTCAAACCAACCAGATTAGATCTAGGTGACATCCGCCAATGCAGAAAAGTCGGAGACAGTGGACTGGACTCCTGATCTGGGTTGCAATCTGATCAGCGCGTTCTTGAATTTCTCCCTCAGCGGCTGCGTCTCTGAGAATAACTCAAGTTGTGTCCAGTGCCCCTAAAGAACCTTAGATATAGCAGGCCCAAATATTTTTGTGGAGACACAAACATAAAATAGACTTAAAACTTTGCAAAAAAGGTATGTTACTTTTAAGATAAACTCTTGGAATATCGAATACGTACCGGCGTGCACGGCTTGGCAGCAGTCACTGCTGCGTTCAGAGGGGCCCTATTGCAATTGTTATGTGTTTTGGCAGGGAGTTCAACACAGTGTGTGAAAAGCGTAGACATCATTGCAGGGAGTATTGGTAGTAGCAGAATCATACCAGAGCAAATTTCTTGACACGACTTGAGAGGGCAATATTGATTAAACATGGAAAAGCGTAGACATGAATCCACGGGTCCTACTATTAAACCTAAAAGGGAAGCGTTACTACAGGGGTTGTATTATTCAAGGCTTCTAGTGCGCTGGGCCACCTCCTTGTGCAATAGAGTTTGTTGTACTAACTTGAGAAGAAAATCAAGGGATTCAATTTCCAAACGCCATCTAAACACTTAAGAGATATCAATGAGTCAAGAACAATTAAAACACAATGCAACAGGGATTGAGAGGAACGGAACTTACAACGAACTTAAAAGGAATCAACATCACTTCAAGGGGAAAACGACTGGGTTTAAAATGATTTTTGCAGGAAATCACCTGGAACCAAAAGGAACTTAAAATGAAACCGTTACAAACCAGAAAGGTTTCTAGGGGGATGTGGGGACTCCAAGAGTCCCTGAATATTGTTTGTTGTTTTTTTGCTTTAAGGTCTTTTTCTTTATATCTTTTCGATGGGTTTTTGATTTTGTTGAGGTTTTGGCAATGTGAATGTTTTTGAATGAATAAATTTGTTTATGGATTGCTTGTTTCTTTCCAATGGGGAGTAGACACAGATGATGCCAGATTCGCACTGTCTAGGCATTTTATGCGGCATTTTGCATATTTTTGAGATGGTCAGCAACAACAATTTGTTTTGTGCGTTTGAGCCTATGACATACATAAACCACCGTAATTTACAATGTTTTATTGCACATTACCATAGGAATGTACATCCCTTGGAACACCCCTTCTGTTGGCTCATTACACCATGACACCAACAAATGGTTTTCCAATTTTTCATGATTCTGTAGTCTTTGGCTGGGAGCGTCGGGAAAGGTGGAAAACAGATTGCCTACAAGATCAGCTTGACGGCTTTGCTTGGTGACGTTTTACATGGATGACGATTTTTGATTCAGGGATTCCTCCAAACAGACTCGTGGCTGTTGGCCATTGGCAGGGCTGACAAGACGGTGGCCGTGCTCCAAACTCAGCGTCGTGTGGACAACCGTGGGTGCGCGACCAGAACGCTTTCGTGCGGATGGGCGGGGATGAGGGGCTCAGGGCAGCCGTGGGTGAGATTGGGTGAGTCGGTGCTTGGATACTTAAGACATAATAAATCATGACCTACTGTATCCTACTGTAAGGGACATATGATGATGGATCATTGTTTGAGGGAACACATGGCACAGGAACAACGCAGCCTTTTCATTGCAGAATAGTAGGACTTTTCAAAGGCCGGTGACTCAACGCACCCGAAGCTGTGACTCAACGCACCCGCCACGCGTCCACTGGGCGACCGTCACACCGTCACACCGTACGCTCAGTGCCTCGGGAACTTCTGGGCGCTCATTGGTTTGGCAGGGCTTGCGCTCCCCATTTGGAGTAAGACATCTACAACTACTGATCGCAACATGTCGAGTACTTTCAGTGAGTGGAGTGCACAACAAAGAAATGTGTTGGTGCTGTCGTCATTCCTTGTCACAAATCTGTGGATGGCTGAAGAGCCAGCTTGCTGCCTGCTGAATCCCAAGCGGGATTGCTGTCACGGCAGCGCAAGAGCGCAGCCAACGCAGTCAAGGATTATAGAAAGCTACAGAATAGATCAGAAGCATGCTTGAAGCATGTAGGAAGCTTGAAGGAGACCTGGCCGGACCCTTTCTTTGCACGCGAAGCTACCACCAGCTCTGCGGTTTTCTCTAAGCTGCGACGTGCTGTTCCAAAGTTCTATGCCAGACAGTGGCATGATGAGCTCAACTTTGCTTCCGCGAACCTCAGCTCCTCGAAGCCAATGATCTGGCATCTTCCATGTCCAAGAAGAACAGGGCTCCGGACAGCTGGAAAGTTGAACACTTACGATTTGGCAAATGCTTAGACTTGCAACACATAGCATAGCTCGAGCCTGCCTGATTGCTGGTAGAGGCCCTTGGCTTGGCTTCCATATGCGCGGGCGTATCGCCGCCAGGATTCTTGGCATTCTGCCATGTGCCGAAGCTAAAGACCTCGCAGATCAATCCAGGGTCACCAACAACCATCGCGTCATAAGGCCCCTTTTCGTTTTTTTCCTTTTACATTATTTCTTGGTTCCTGGAAGGCCCTCTTTTCCGCCGTTCCGGTTCACCGCCGAGCGCTCCCCCTCACGTTGAACTCAGCCGTCGGCCTCGCCGGCTGCTTGCCAGAGCTGGTGTCATCGACCCGGCCTCGGCGTCCGCGCAAAGCTGGCATCCCTACATCTTCATCTCGGAGGAGCGAGAAATCAAGCGACGGAGTGACGGTCGCCGTGAACACGTCTGACTGTGTTCGTCAGAGTGTGCCTCCCAAGAAGCAGGTCACAGGTCATGTGGATGGTCATCAAAAACCTCCAAGCAGACTTGGTGACTGACTACCTGGGGTCGAACGATTTGGGGGGGACTTGGGGTGACCTTCCAAATTTCGTCGAAGTCTTTGGGCCATTTTGGGGCGTTGGTCATCGTTGGTTTGTGTGGTTCAAGGCTCCGCAGTTGCGCCCGATCTCATGCCGGAGCTCTCCAGGATTCCGGCCGCACCTGGCGGAAAGCTTGGGGTCGGCAGTGGCGCCGGCTTAGACTTGGACCCCACGTGGGCATCGGGTGGCCGTAGCTTCGGTTCCCAAAGGGGGGAGGGCTCCCATCGAGGAAGGAGCGACCGAACCAGATCCGTTTTGAATGACCGGGTGCTGTTGAACTCTTTTGAAGGACTCAGCACAGTTTCTTTCAAAAGAGTGTGTCTAGACCATTTGCTGTCTAGAACAGCCCATTTGCATCCATTTGCAATGAATGTCCCATTGGCTGAATGACCCAGTTGAATGACCCATTTGCTGTCTGGAACAGCTTGTGGACGACGCCGAAGATCGCCCGAAGCCGAAGCCTTCGTTCTCGTGACCGGTCTCACGCTTGCGTGTAGATCCTGCGAATGGGACCCTCGAGCCGACACTGATTTTGATTGAGAGTGAATCAGGGTCCCAAAGGTCCAAAAAGACCACGCAATACTTTCCTTCAGGACTTGTGGGGGTGTGCTCATATCTTTTAGTATTTTCTTTATCATATTATGAATGACCCTGCCAGCCCAAGGGAAGATTCTTACTTCCTCATATATCCAATCGTTTTTTTGCCCACCCTGTCAGCGGCGGTTCACTCGGTCACCGGTGACGCTCGGTCGCTCGCGCTTCTGCGCCAGTCATGGCCTGCACAGCTGGATCCCGCATCCCACCCGCCGGGTGCGCCGGGATCGGCGGCGCCACGGCTGACCCGCCCGCCCGCTGACGCGATGGTCGGGGTGTTCGGTAGCGATGATGAAGCGCCTCGATGTTGAGGCGGTGAGCGATCCTTTTTTGGGGGGGATTTTTCGTTCTCACTTGAAGAGGACCATAGATGACCTGTAAAGTGGGGAAAGATGAAATTTGCTGCTGTAAAGATTCGTTTTGCCGCCTTGATGGGGAACATTATCGGGTTTGCCCACTGCTCATCGGCGCCAATTCTGCGAACACAATGACTTGGTGCAGCAATCCAGTTTTTAGATGTGGTTGTGTATGAGCTGGCTCAGGACCGAACCTCTATATAACTCTTCATGAGGAGAATGAGGCGAAGGGCCAAGGGTATTCAATATTGTACAACTTCTCCACAGCAACTGAACCGACCCCCCAGCTGTAGTTGGAGGTTCAGCACTCCCATCTACTCCCCCCGGTGGCCACCAGCCGCGCGGCCGCCAGTCTTGGGCCTTGGTCTCCTGGTGGAACGGCGCCTGTAGCAAGGCCCCTGACCGTCAGTGGCCATCGGTGGTTGTCGGTGTCGAGCCACGCTGTGGGACCGGGGTTGTGTGAGGAGATGCCGTGGGACCGGAGGTCAAAACGGATGTCCAGGTAGATGAATGACACGGAGTCATAGAGGATAAACGGATGAGCCGAATGTCGATTTGAATCACTTTTTCTTCTCACATGAGCTCACATGGAGTCATAGAGGTGAAAGGCACGTGTGCTTTGCAGAGAAATGGAAAACTGGCAAGGTGTTTCATGAAGACTTTCTTTGATAATCAAACGTGCAGTTTTGGTTCCCCACACTTGATGGAAACATTACGAAACTTCTGCATTTCTCTGGGAAGAGGTATTTTACTATATTTTACTGCTATGCCTATTTGTAGTTTTGATATGGATATGCTGATAGGGGACGCCCACAAAAGATCACACAGCGATATCCTCAAATGAGACTGTGTGGACTCTCCTGCCAATTCAAAAACGGGATGTCCTTATTTTTGTTTGAAGATGACAACTTTCTTCAGACTGAGACTACTTATGACTAAGATCAAGGACAGGAAAGCTTGAGTCTGGGCTCACATTATGTATATAATTATAGATAATGCTTTCTTTTTAATGGTGGTGCAAGAGATTCATGATCAGCGGATCGAAAGATGGCTCGATCTGGTGGACGTTCACTTGAAACCGTTGAGGGAACCATGTCCACAACACCAGGCCTCAGGGGGAGAAATTGAAGGCGCTTCCGACGACGAGGAGACCCGGCACATGGATGCACACGGGGGTGTGGGGAGGTGGGGGGAGCTGTGGAGGGGTGGAAGGGGATGTTTGTACCTGCCATCCCCAGACCATCCTCAAGGTGGAATGGAACTCAAGAGCTCCTCACACAGAAAACGAATCGGAGGTCCGACGTCAAGTGGCTCATGAACACTGTGCCACTCTTCAGCTGTTGCAAATCAGTGCACCCGCAGCCTCACATGGGCCATGCTCGCAGTAGAAATAGTGCAGACAGCACATGACATGTGCATACACGTGCAGGTTTTTGTGTTGGATTGCCATTTGATTGTACGGACATGGCCATTTGCTGTACACACATGCCATGCATTGCCCTGTGCGCTACCAGTTGCTGCCTTGTTCTTGCTCGCCAACTGTGAACATACGTCTTCCCCATCGCCGGAGCCATCGACACCGTCAACACTGGTCAGATCGCCCAGTCCTCGAGGCAAAGAAAGCTGCGAAAGATGCTTCGAAGGAGGGAGATCCTGACAAGGACAAGGCAGGTGAGTTGCAGACTGGAGAACTGGAGACTGGTCATGAACACCAGCTTGAACACCAGCAGCACTGGTGTTTCGATGCGCATCACTCAGATGGGGTTGATTAATCAGCCCAATGTTTCTGATGGAATGCTTGCCGAAAAACCATGTCCAGACGGGTGCGAAGGGGCTTTGAGTCTGCACAAACACTCACCTCTAAGTTTGAAGGTGAAGGCACTCTCCTTGTGTCTTACCTTAAAAAACATTCTAGCATTTTCAATCTGGTGTGATCCTTCGCGATCTAGTCTAGTGTTCCTTTTAGGCTTTAATCCAGGTCCGTATCCAACAACTTGCCCAAGTGCCTAAATTCTTCTCCAGGTGGATGGTGTTTCATCTCTCCTGTGAACTTTTTGTGTGAGCCTTTGACTTGATGAAAGCAGCCCACGACATGGTTTGAACGTCTCCCTGCCCCTCCGATCCCGGGGTCTGCCAGCCGTGCATGCACCGGTTGATGCTGACCACCGACCTGGGGAAGCGGGGATCCCTAAATCCGGTGGGGGACGGCAACAAAGGCAAGCACCATGGTACGTATCCAAGAGTTTGTTGAGTCCAGCTTTGTGGTCTCATGTCATACCAAGTCCATGTTTATCAAAAGTTTTGAGTTGTGTGTTGAGCTTTGTTCCTCACTTTGAAGCACAGAAGATGGCATCGCAGCTTTGCGGTCGCAATCTGGCACTTTAAAATGCTTTCCGGGGCTTGGGTCCGAAGATAGCCGATAGCATACTTTCTGTGCCGAGTACTCAATGTCCTCGATCCTCCTATTTCTTTCTTGACGGTGGGTTTGCGAGAGGATTTTCATTTTGAGTCGTTAAGAATTTTCAATGACCTTATCTCATGGTGGACTACAGTAGCCTGGATGTTGCCTTGCCGTAGCCACTGAAAGTCACTTGGCAAGATCATCCTACTTGAGCGGAAAGCGGGAGATCTTTCAAAGCGTCGTTGGGATTCAGCGCCGCATCACTACACGACAGACACCACAGATCCATGTGGGCTGCAGATCAGGACCTTCTTGCAGATCGCCCCGTATGTGGTCCAATTCAGCTGGGGCAGCCCGAAGATCAACCAGTCCGATCGGGCGGGGCGCCGTGGGGTGGGATGGGCGGATGGGCAGATTTGAGGCCGGTTTTGCTGATGGATTGTTGGTGGTTTGCCGCATGTGCGGATGCCCCCTCAATTTGGTCTTTCCATCTGATTCTCCTTCTTTTGATACGCAAGGCTGCGGCTGCCATTCTGCTTCAGGTGTGCAAAGTTGTTTTGAGGTGCCAGGAGGCACCAGTGGATGGTCTTTGCAAGTTGCAGATTTCCTCCGTTTCCGTCTTCGCTTTCGAACTGGCCAGATTTACTACACTGCCTACGCCTCAAAGACGGGCGACCAGGGCAAGCTCTCCCAGTGGAGCACGGAGGCGCTGTCAGCCGGTGCGAGCGCCACGAGAGCGGCGAAAGCGCGAAAGCTGGAGGGCGACGGCTGCGGAGGGTTGGAACAAAACGCACAACGGAACACCTTGCCGCCTGACTAGCTGTTTAATATGTATAAAGATCCGAGGATTATATAACATAACTAACGTAATAATTATGTGTATCAGCTTCTTTGGATGTACTGAGGCGGCTGAAACAATAGCCCTTGAGCTGGGGGCTGCTAGCCGCTCACTAGCCCTTGACTTTGGAGCATCACCGGCAAGTGTTGAAGTTCCTGTTTGGATGATATTATGTTGAAACAATACTGAGTTACTCGGCGGGTGGGCCTTTTTTCACACGAGAAACCTTTGACTTTTGCTGGGAAATCCTGCACGACCCTGGTGACCAACGGACCGAGCTGGGTTCCACTATCTCAGGCGACCAGCTCTACGAATTCATTTTGGATTGGTTCCAGACATGTTGCGACTAGTTCATTGGACTTTCTGTCTAGATCGAGCTCACCAGAGCGGACCTGCGTACATGTGTATTTTTGTATACACACATATCAAGGGATCTGCCGGCTGCACCAAGACTATGAAGGATTGTGCGGTCTAAGCAAAAAAATGATAAACAAGGGACCTTCCTTTGTGCTCCTCATGGTCAGACCATCCGACGTCCGCTTCGCTGGTATCTGCCAACTCATGGCCATTCTCCCTTGCTGCCGGTGTTCCGCGTCCGCGACATGTGGCGCGTGGCACGTGGCGCCAGAGGTGGACTTCAAAGCGGTGGATCTGGAGTCTTTGGGGCGGCCCAAGGTACCAGTGACCAGTCCGAGGCCTTAGTGGCTGCTGTGCTGGTGTGGTGGTTGTTGGCTGTACGCATTTTAATCGTACCCTTCGTCCCCGGCAATTGAATGAAGACACACTGGAAGGAATATTAATATGACCAATATGATCAATATGCAATGCTGGTGCAAGCTGAGTGAAGCGCTTCTTGAGCACGGCGACTCAGGTGTTAAGCACGGCAACAAGTTCATGATCTCCAATGAGTGCCGTAGCTGCAGAGAGAGAGAGAGAGAGAGTCTGGCATGATTCACATGGTGATTCCGCCGCGGATCCGATTGATGGATCCGGGGTGCTCTACAGAGTCGGTGCCTTTTCAGTGTCAAATTGGTGAAGTTTCTTGGGCCATAGGGCTAGTTGGAGCTATAGGATTTGATTTATACTTTTTGATCTTTTTTGTATGCCAGAATTGAGCCAGTGGGATCAGTGGGCAAAGGCTGTTTTGAGCTTGGCTTTGCAGAGCCTCACATAGCCCCTGTCACTGTCACCTGTCTGTTCAAGGAAACAAAACTTTCGAACACCTCCTACCAAAGGGACCGAACTGTTTGCTTCGTTGCAAACTGTGGGGGCGAACGGTGTTGTTCCCGCTCTGCCAGTGCAAACCTGACGGGACCTGGCGGCTGAGGTTCATCCTCGTCGCCAAAGTCTCCAGCGAGGAAATCTGCGAGGGGAGAGGGATGGGCACTTGTAGTTTCTGTGGCTTTTGGAAGCTTTGGCCTGTATTGGGGGGGTTCTAGCGACGGCTTTGCGACTGTGACCAGGGTCGAGGAGCAGGTTCTTTCGAATGAAACGCTCCATTCGAACCACTGAGGACTATATACCCATCCTTGTTCTTCTTTTTCCACCGGTTCTTTCGAAGGCAACGGGTCAACCACTTTTTCGATTGCGCCAGGAGAGGCAGACCGTGAATCTCATGGTCTCCAGCGATGGGGCAAAGACCTGGAAGGCACTCTGACGAAGAGACAGATGGTGTCACCTGTGAAGTGTAAAAAGTGCAAAGGCAGTAAATGGTATGGCTGAGCTTGCAGAGGGTGTTTTTGTGCAACTCTGTGGGCTGGAATACCCGTTGACACTCTCGGGCCAGATAGAAGGAATTGACGATGTTCATGGAGTGTTTGGCCTTTGGAGCCCTAGCTGGAAGTCTGGTGATTTCCTGCTGATTCACACCATCATGTAACTGCCGCCACAAAATGTGTGGCGAACACACGCACACACACACACACATTCGGTTGGTTCACGTGGTGAATCGAGTCGAGTTTCTTGCTTTGCCTCGTCTAGGCGGCCTTGCTACCCTCCGGGATGGGAGAGCTCGAAGAGAAATGGCCAGGAAGCTTGATTTGTGGGAGTTTCCGAGGCTTTACTGGAGCACATGATAGCACATGTATAAACATGATGTACTTATACTCAGCTCTTTTGTTGTGACATGTGAGGAGAGTAGCTCGGCTCTGCATGTCTACATCTCTCAGAGATACAGATGCCACTAGTCAGCGTCGATTTCATGGGTGCTTTGCGCAGAAAGTGGCTCTGCGGGTAAACGCTGCCACGACTTGACAGAAAAAACATGAAAAAACTATCACACACTCAGCTCTGCTAGCTGCTAGGTATACCATCGTGGATACCTCGGAGGGGGCCGTGCTGCTTCATTTGAACTCCGAAACGGCCCGGGGGCTTGAGGGAGCGTGGCGGTGCGGTGCGGAACCTCGTGACATGGACATGAAGATGGACGGATCTTGGACAGCTGAAGGATGTCCATGGTTCCTCCAAGACTGCTGGTGAGACCCGGTTTTTGAGTCTTCGTTCTTTTGGAAAAGGAGTGCTCCAATTGCTTCTCCTAGGTCCGAGATCGGTAGTATCAATTCAGATGGAATCACACGATCTTTCCTTTCGGATGTTCCATCCTGCAGAAGCTAAGTGACCCGCAGTCAAGTATGCCTTGGCGCAGCAGACCACTCCGCATGCTCCTTGCATCAACCCATGCTGCCTGTCCACCCTTCAGGGGGCTGCAGACACTGGCCGCATCTTCGTGTCTGACAGCGAAGGCTACAAGTGACCCTTGAGGAGGCAGAACCACTCCATCCAGAGGTTAATTTCTTAGAAAGGACCGGTTTCTCCACCTGAAGGAGGAAGAATCTCAGGAGACAGAGATGGACCAGGCCGACGGGCATCTCCAGGTATTCCCAGTCCCTGCTCCACAACATCCGGTCCTCTGCTGGTGATGTGGAGTTTGACAAGGTTGGCAGAAGGAGTGGATGGGGGGGTGTGGCGACAGGAGGGAGAGCGGGCAGTTAGCGTCAGAGCTGATGGCTTTGCGGGGTGAGACCCTAAAACAAAGGAACCTGGAAGTACAGATCGATGCATGGACCATTTGCTTTTTATCCTCGTGATTCTGGGGTTTCAGATGGTTCCACGTTCGTCTAAGGTGCTGTGAAGAAATCCAAAGGCCCAATCCGAATCCGACTGAAGCTCCCAACCTCAGCCAGAAGCCAGGCGCCATTGACCGTTCTTCGCCGTCACGTTTCGTGCCGAATGGTTCGGACACCGGAGCCTCCGCCTCCGAGGTGGTGAGCCTCACTGGAGTCTATTTGGCAAATGTCCTGGTCTGGGCCACCCATGGTGGGAGAGTCCGGACCATGGGTGCAGGGAGGACCAAAACGCCACGCCCAGAAGATGACACCGTTGACGACACTCAGCAAGTGACAGGAGATTGCAATGTGTGCAACCACCTATAGAAGATCCTCTTCTTCATTTGGCGCTGTGAACACCTGGGTGGTTGGCTTTGGGGGACCACCCTGCACTAGTGTGGTTTACCAGATGTCTCCTTTTGTGTGGGAGGTCTCCCACTCCCAAATACGGTTGAATAACGACTTACGACTTACGACTATTCTTGATCTTGGTTCTTGCTATTCGTCATCTTTTATCACCAGCCCCCAAGTGGATGGGGAAACACTTGTAAGGTGTGGGCCATCTAGAGATGGGGGGCAGCCTCAGCATTGAAACGGCCCAGGTCGCTTCCCACGCCTGTGGCTGGAGTTTTTGGACTTTCTTTACTGTAATCCTTACATGGAAACCAACAGAAATCATACAGAAGAAATAAGGGTAGCTTCTATATTGTGTGCTTGACTCGCATGCGCATCGGTCGCGCCTGTTTTTTCCTTGTTGTGGATCCCTGGTATTTCTACGGAACAAGATAACTTGTTTAAGTTGAGGCTAGTTGCATATTAACTTATTATGTCAAGCAAATTCGCACATGAATTCTCCTTCACAGCAGAGGTCCGCTGTGTAGTGTATCCGTCCCTTCGCTTAGGCTGATGCTGAAGGGGATGCTGGCTACCAGAAGGTCGGTCTGGGGGCGGACGTTGTTGAATGTGAGGGAACACCTTAGACTCCCCAAACTTTTGGTCGTTCAGTCCGCCGAATGACTTAAGGTTACAACAGGATACAACATGATACAACAGGCCCTCCAAACCCTTTCGGGTTCTAGTAACATCATTTTGCGGGTGCACGACCCATCCTAGTTTCAGGAGAATTGAAGGGCTTTTGTTCTTCGCCCTCAGCCATGAAGAGTCTCGAGGGAAGGGTACCATAGGAATGCAGGCTCAACTAGGATAGTTATAGTTGAATTCTCCTTGAGGATGCTGAGCGTGGATGAAGGATTCTTGAGACTGTAATCCCGTGATCAAATTTCTTGAGATAAACTGCAATACATGTCAGGCTTGCACTGAGTGTTCCACGTCGTGTAGGTGCAGCAGCTTGGATGTAGACCAACTGAATGGATAATTGGTATGATTTCTGGCAATTTGTTTTCATGGCAATCTTGGAGGATTGTGTATGTTTTCCGGATAAATTCTTGGGATCCAGCCAGCAGCTAGCAGTGTCAATACCGTGTGAACGAGTCCCGATTCTCACTCTGAACGCCACTTTTGTCTTGACACTGCCTCGGTCGTTTTTGCATCCAAGCCACTTGGTTGATAAACGCATTACTTTTCCATGAAGGTATATTATATAGTATAGAAGATGGAACATACAACATTCCAAGGATTGTCATTGTTTCATGATACTTATTTCATGTTTCGCATGATGTTTCCTTGCTCGGCCGCCAGGGGAAGCAGTGGGCGGTAGAAACAGTTGAACAAGATGCTTCGGAAGGATCTTCAGCCACTTGGTTGAAGCGATTTGGTGGTTTTTGTTGTTTTTTCCCAAGTTAGTACCCACGCGTGAGAGGAATTGAACACCAACGGGTATTTTAGGGTTTGAAAGGTGTCAACATGAACCAGGCGGCTATGAACGGGGGTTTCTGCATGCCCGTTTCAGCCGGAAACTTGCCCGACTCGGCTGCACCAGATCGACCGTAATGATCAAAATAATGTTTAAAACCATGTTTTACAACTTTGCGTTTGACTGATCTCATGCTAGTTTGAGATCGGCCTCAAGCAACTCCCCGCAAAACCACGAAGATTATTCATGTGTGTGAAACATTCACCAAAGAAGCTACTAGGAGCTCCTGGCATCGCTACTAGGAGCAAGGACGCTACTAGGGGCTCCTGGCCTTACTACTAGAAACAAAGAAGCATTCACCAGAAAAGTCTTAAGCACGTGGAAAGCTGGCGCCTCAGGTGGATCGTCGACATGGTCGAGGCTGGGGCAAAGCCTCCCGCACGGCCAAGGCGTGGAGCCGGGGGGGTTCGTTTGAAACCGGTAGTTGACCTCTTAGCCACACAATGGGGATTTTTGTGATGATTTTGGGATTGTATGTCTAAGAAAAGGTGTTCATACCTAATAGAAAACCAAACCACTACCATGAAAGGCTTCTTTCTCCTAACTGGTTTTGGCGCAAAGACACTTGGCTTCAACAGTATAGGGCAACCATTTCTTTCTGCTAGCTTCGGTGTCCAGGTACCATTAATGGACATTGCTGTGATTTCGGCGGTCTTGTTTTTCCGTTGATTTTGCCAGGAAGAGCGGAGCATTCGAACGGTGATCTCCTTTGACAAGGCAGCAGAGTGGCAGAGTCTTTTTGGAGGAGAAGATCGGAAGAGCGGTAGGAAATGGTTGAGCCTTCAGAAATCTCCAGAAATACTGCACCAAAGCAGTCTCAGCGTTAAATCCTGGAACCAGTCGAATATGATGTATGCTTTTCTCCTCAGTTTCCTTGGCTTGTGGGGAGTAAGACGTGTGAAGCCGCTGAGCGGTTCTTGGAGTCAAAGAGCCAGCGGAGCCAACATGGAGTCCTTCTGGGGGAACTTGAGAAGGTCCATGGATGAGACAAGTGGCGGCTTTTGCTCACCAGAACTCCTTTCTTTGGAGACACATTTCTAAAGGCGTGTAGCTCCACCCTGAGGGTCGAGGGTCGTCCTCCCCACGTCTTCCGGATCGGCCGGACTCGGAACTCCGAGACAGGGTGGATCCTGGAGATACTTGAAGCCGCCCAAGGTCAATAGCTCGGGCTGCCCAGTGTGTGTCACACCGACCACTTCCCGCGCGGTTCGCGGTTGCGTGTGACCTCGCAGCCGTGGTTCGAACGAGAAACCCGTTTTCGTGGGCCGTTGGCGAGGTTTGCGACGGTCTGGCTGTGGTCTTCCCCCTTTTTCCTGGCCAGTTGTGTCGTGGAACTGAGGGACATTGAACATATTCTCAGTGAGTCATTGATATGTGCTCAGTGAGAAATGTTCGGAAATGTGCTCCGCATGAATCTGAACATTTGTCGCTTGTTCGCGGAAGATGTTGATTCTGTGGACCCAGCAACCATGCACTGCATCCTTGTGCTGTTTCACTTCTCAGGTCAAGGTCAACCATATTTCTGCGCGGGGCGACCCTTGCAGGACCAGTGTCCCGAAAGGCCAAAGAACGGTCCAATCGATGAGATTTCCTAATTTGGCAAAGCTCATTCGAGGAGCTTGAGTGGAAGAAGTCGATCATTCCTTAGGTGGAAAGGGGGCAAGCCTTTCAGTGCCGAACTCGTCCGTGAAGGTCAGGATGATTGAGGATTCGACTTGCTTGGTCTGACACAGTAGGCAGGCTTGGTTGAAGGGCAAGTGGGATTAGACCTTCAATGAAGCTATTCCTCGTAGACTTCCCCATGTTCCTTTTGATTGGTTGGACAAGTAGATCAACCCCAAGATTGAAATCCTCAGCCTCGATGGCCGGCTTGAACCATGCCAGCCTCTACCAGGAATGTGCACTCCATCTTCACGGAAGCAGTTCCTGGGATCTCTATGCACCTTTCTACTCGAGTCGGGAGCCGAACCGAGCAGACATCTTTTGGGTCTTAGACGTCGTTTGAAAGATGTGGTTTATTACGGGCAGGATAACGTTTCTTCTGTCGATTCCATGATCTATTTCCCTTCAATGATTTGCACGTCGCTTTTGACACACTTTTGTCCGAAAAGTGATGCTCACGCGAGGTGAGAACTGTGTAGGGCCACGACCTCAGGGTATCTCAGGGTCTTCAGGACCAGCATCGGAATGGTGAATGGTCCTTCTTTCCAGATGCCACAGCGGCACAGTCCTTGACAACGATGCTTGTTGATGTTCTAAAACAGAGTGTTTGGTTCGTCCTCTGGTTGGTGAGGACGACCTCTTCCAATTGGGGTTGGGGGAGTTTCACGAGCAAACTCATTATGGATATTAGAGTTGGCCATTGCATTGTTTCCAGACTCGTTGAGGGCGTTTCACTGGACCTGAGGATGTAAGAAACTCTACCTTTGAATGCTCGGCTACACTTGTGTTTTGATACTTCAAAGACTAGGAATTGATTGGGCAACGGCGGGTTGCCGTCAAGTCCAAGCAGCAAGACTTGTGTTTGCTGAACTCCTGGACTTACTTCGGCCAGAATTATGAGCGTTCGGGATCTTTGCCTTTTCTTTCTCTCTTCAGCAGTTCCTGTTCGAATGCAGACGGGCTTGTGAAAATGGTTCGCCTAGGATCATTATGGGCACCGGAAACGTGGGAGCATCCTTGAGGTTCGCAGTCGACGGTTCGAAGGCGGTTTTTTCGGGTCTTTTCTGCTCGGGTGAAGAAGCAGTCTGAGCAGGTCCATCTGAGTAGATGATTTTACTGGATGGGGAAACATGAACACAATAAGATACAATAAACATCCTCTTGGGGCACCGGATCCGTCGGTCAGTAGCAATGAACAAGGCAGACAATCTTCCTGCCGGGGTGCCCTTTTAGTTCGGCTTGATCATGCCACCATGAACTGTGTTCGGATGGGGTGCCAGGGTGCCAGGGGTTCGAAACTCGAAACCGATCTCTTTGTCGTGGGTGTCTTGGGTGTGGGTTTGATCAACTTTGTCCTTGAAACATTCGGGACCTTCGACTTTCTGCGCGGAGGGGGGCGTTACATACACCTGCAGTAAGTAGAAGCCACAACCTGTTTGGACACCCTACGACGAGGATATCTTCAGCATGGGACCCATGCTGAGAGACGCAGAATCGCTGGTTGGGTTAGTTGGAACATGTTGGACCAATGGGCTAAATCGGAGCAGGTGATTTCTCAATTTTGGAAGCGCTGGTGCACGTCAGACTTTCCACACCGAAAGCCACGTTGGCTCATGAACATGGAACATATTTACTGAACATGGAATGAGCTGATGTCATCCTCAAAAGTCCCGGGATCAGTGGTGCTTTACAGCAAGTAAGATGTGTTAGACTTTTCTTACGAATCCCAACTCCCTGACCTGTATAGAGTAGTTTCTGACAGATGACACACAGGTGGAAACATAGATGGCATAGCTCTACATTCTAAACTCCGTACGCCATGCATTCAGGGCAAGGTCTCTCACTTTCGAATGGTGAAGAAAAAGATCGATCCTGCAGATGGATGCACGTATTCCTTGGTGGAGCTCCAAGAGCACTATGCCGGCAAGTACAAGAAGAAGGTTCGCCAGCCTTCGCCAACGGGAACATGGTGTCAACGTCCATTTCGGTGATCTGTCACTCATTCAGTCTTGGAGTCTTGGCGCAAGGATGTCACGTCCAGTCTTGCGCCTGTTTCCGGCTTCCTGCGTCTCACAGAACCCTCATCGCCAGGAGATTCAGAAGTACTGGGAGAATGACTGCAAGGCGGTAGATGAAGGACGCGAAGGCGCCCCCGCTCCAGTCTGGCGCCTGCTTGCTCGCTGGGTCTGTTTGGCCAACGTGGTGTCGTGGTGTCCGGGGACACCTGGGATCGACGCACGGAGCTCCCTGGGTAGGATGAAAATAGCAGCTGGTCTGGGACCAAAGCGTGGGGCCCTTGGAAGTGAGGAGGGCCATCGTGAAATGACCAATTCTATCCGTATCCAATTCTCTCGAAATGACCCCATTTGCTGTAGTACATCATGTGAAAAATGCGGTTGGAGCAACTCAAAAACAATTGCGAGCTCAGCAGCGCAATCGAGAGGCTGTTCCTCGCTATTCCGCACACATAGATAGATAGCGAGATTAGTAATGAAACATGACAAAATCTTTTGCAGGGGTCCACCCAGATGATTCCCCCCTCTTCTATTAGGCTTATCGGATCTTATAGGCATATAAGAACTACATGGAACTACGATCGGTTGCTCACCTGCACTGCTGCGGGCAACTTGGCTCTTTGGGCACTTGGCCCTGGTGAGGAAGGCCTGGCTGCCTGGCAGATCTCGAGCCGACCACCCGCCCTCTTGGTCACCGTTCGGTCAGTCTCGCTCTTTCCGGTCACCGTTCGGTCTTCCCAGGTGCCAAGCCCGTCCAGAGCCAGCCCCGATCCGCGCCTCGAGGCGCGAAAGCACTCGTTTGGGGGGCCGATGATTCCAAGCCTCAAGGAGGACTCTCCGACGAAATGTGAAAATCCTCCACCTGAGATGATGTACCATGTGGAATCCCCATTTGCATCTCTGCTGCAAACCTTTTGCTGTGGCCATTTTCAATCATTTTCATCCATTTCACCCCCTTCCGGGATCTTCTGGCAAGGCGAAGAACAGCCAAAGCCCAGCGAGCGGCCGCGCCTCGCTCGCTCCAGGTCCTGGCTGAAGAAGGCAGCTGAAAAACACCACCCGGGGTGGACTGGACTGATCTTAATGTGAAGGAGGTTCTTCTATTGGCGGGGTATTTCTTTTTAATTAAGTACCATTTGAGCAGCGGCCAAACTTTCCAAGTAACAGTTGGAAGACAGGTGAATGTACTATGCCTTCGCGTAAGCACAACATGCAGTCGCGAAAGATTTGCGGAAGATTGCGCGTGCTTTTCATTGACGAAAGCTTGCGAAAGCTCCGGAAAGCTTGCAAAAGCTCGCGGAGTCAGTTCCGTCCGCGAAGCTTGCGAACGTGTTTTTGCACAGAATGCAGCGCGCGAAAGCCAAGATGCAAGCCGCAAAAGTGTTGCGAAAGGCGAAAGGAACTTGCGAAAGAAGAGCCCAATAGAACATATTCTCGATAGGTTTTGAGCAATGCTTATTTGTAAGCATGTGTAACCTTGGCTGGCCTGCTTTGAACGTTTGTTTACGGATCCGGAGCTCTACAGACTCTAAAACATTCACCATTCGATCCTCCATTGATGGAATGGCTTCACAGCTTCCTCGCCGTTGTTCTACACACAATTCCGTCTTCACATTCGTTGATCACAGGTCTGTGGCGTTGCCCTTCTGCCCTGTGAGGCGGGACGGGCACCGATGACGCCCTCGGGCTCCGCTCCGACGCCGCAGTTGGTGTCATGTGGCCCATGGTCGACCCTTGCAGGAAGAGTTGGCGCCCCTTTTGGAGGCCGTCCATGCCAGCAAAGATGACTCGGAGAAAGAGGCCATTTGACACGGATTTGATCCCTTTCGCATCTTTCGCTTCCATCAACCTGAACCTTTTTGCTTTCTTGAGGTGTTTCAGTTTCCAACACTTGGACAGCCTAGGCCCTAGGCTTGTCTCAACTTCAAAGGCCCAACGAAATCTGACCAACAAAAAGTACGCGGTACGCGTGTGGGAAGTAATTCATGTCAAATCTTCCCACCAAGTCTGCTGTGTTTGCTGTGTTTGCCTCTTCCCTGACCAATACACCCACGTCCCAAGGCATGGCAGCTGAAGTTGCTGACCGCACACCCGTTCGTCGAGCGGAAAGTGAAGGAGGCCGGCGAGTCCTGTTGCGCTCAGCCCGGTCGTTCATTCGCTCCTCAACGGAAGAACAGCTTTGAAAAGGCAAGAGAAGCAGGCAGCACTGGCACAGGCACCATGAAGACCACGAGCAAACGCAGTACCAAGATGTACCAAGCACAGGGAGAAGAAGAGAGAGAGAGAGAGAGAGACAAGGAGAAACATCGTGTCTCAAGGCTGAGCATGTCGCAAAGCGCTTCTTGAGCGAACTGGCCATGTTGCAGAGACAAACACTTGCCAATATTTGCAAGTTCAATAATATGCTGCCATCCCGGCGCATGGGCATTTTCCGGATGCAATGAATACGGGTTTGAAGGCCGGGGTCGGACTATTGCTGCTAGGGACAATTGTGGGTGAGATTCAATGCTGAAAACCCACCCAATGTGGATGCCTGTCAAACAGAACAAAAACAACACGTTTTTTTGCAGGTGATTATATATATACAAGGAAAGAAGATCCCAAAACGCCTTTGGTTCAATGGTTCTCCTGGCTCAAAGGGAGACCCCCTAACCGTAGGGACCAATCGCGTGGTTGGTCTTGTGTCGCTTGGCCTGATCAAGTATGCAGGTGGCTGGAGATCGATGTGAGTGGAAGGAAATGGCTTCCAAATGTTCAAGTTGGCTCTGCAAGTTAAGCGAAAGGAGACGATTTTTCATCGCTGAACACTCTGTTATGAACCCCTACAGAGAGGACCGCACCGCAGTCACCCACCACCGCCGTTTCACCCCCACGGCGTGGAGTCTGTCCAGAAGTCGTCCTCGCTTTGGGTTGCAGGTTCCGGCAGAGGCCTTGGCGCCTGGTGTGTCTGTAGAGGCAGGGAGAGCGGCAGCGTGCTTGCAGAATACAACAGAACAGGCTGCAGCAAATCGTTTTGTTTCTTTTAGGCAACTCTGCCTTATTTAGGGTTGTATTGCTTTGGGATTTGAATATTTGAGATATTTGGGTAGTCATTCAGTTTCCTATGGCTCTATGACTGAAGGAAGACGTCATATTTAGTCCCCTGAGTGAATTCAGATCTTGCTTGTCCTACTTGTCGAATGCCCACAATTCAATCATCCTTCACCTCATACTGACATACTGCTTACTTCCGAGCTGCTCTTGCCATCTATCTATCTGAGCAGTTCGGCAGGTGACACGACAGCGAAAGCAAAACGATAAACGGCTACCGATCCACACTGCCCCTATGTTCGTTCCACTGAGATCTCTTGGGGAACGGGGGTGAGACATGTCTATTTTTACTATATACTATTATTACTATTGTTTATTGTTATTTTTTTGTTTTTTAAACTGAAAGAATGGATACAAAGGCGGAACTCATCGACGTGCCACGTATACGCATGTGTGCAGAGCACTTGATCCCACGAAAGCTTGCTTTCAAGCTTTCAAGGGTTTTGATGCAAGCCAAAGCACACTGCGCCAATTGCCACGTTCAAAGGTGTGGACCAAGTGCACCGTGAGTGAAACGGCGGCCCAAAGGAAGCAAAAAGCGTCCCGCTCAGGTGGAGAACTTCCGCTTGATGGTTTTCAAGTTCCGGAAGTGGCTGAAGACCCCTGAGCCTCGGTGGTTTTCAGTTAAGAAAGACCGCTCGTTGGTCCTGGCCCTGGCGGGAGGTGGATTTTTTGGCCGGGAAGAGACACGGATCTGCCAATCTGCGGATGTGGAGATGCTGGAATGCATCAGTCTATGTCATTTGTTTTTTTGGGTGTGCGAAGATCAGTTGCTAGTTACAAGATGTTACAAGAAAGCTAAGAGTTTAGTGATGCAATGCTGGAGAAATCTTGTGGGTCAGAACACCTCTGTGGAGATTTGGCACCACCTGTACAGCAGTTTTTTCGCTGTGGATGGAGATGTTGGATTCAGCGATTCGGGCGATTTCGCACGATGTGGGATGCCAGTCCCTCGGCTTCGCGCGACATCGGGCGATCCCATCGGTGCGTGTCCCGTTCGGGGACCCACGGCCGTGTGCGAACGTTCGTTTGGAGTGTCTGTTGTTTTTTTGGGGTGTGGGGGGCTCCACGGGATGAGCTCCGAATTGGGATGAGCTCCAGAGATGAAGTGAAAGAGCTGGGCAGCAACAGATGACGTGAACATAAGTGAAGCTAGATTCTGGAATCTGTTCAAAAGAAAGGATGCTCCAACGTCCAGGTAGTTGCTGTGTAGTTTGGAAGAAACGGCTTCGCGGCTTCGCACCAATCGGTTGCCAAGGAAGGCCGAGCTTTCGAGGAGACCCTCGGAGCGGCGGAAGTGCACCATTTCGCTTGGGGATGTTGGTTTCTCCTTTGGCTACCTGGATTTGGGCAGAAGGTCTCAAATTTTGATAGAACCGATCAATAGACCATTTCACAGCCCTTTTCTTTTTGGCGATTAGCGAGGCTTTTGGGATTCGCACACGTTCAAGGAGAACAGATTCCGTTTTTTTCACCCAAATTTCCGAAGTTTCTGTTCTTTTTACCGAAAAGGTTTTGTGGAGTGCAGGCAAAGTAAAAATGACTTGTGGATGCCTGTAGTTCCACACTGGGTTTCGCTTGGATTCGCTGGTATGTTTGCGCTCGCTGCATCCAAGACCCCTGGCATGTAATTCAGAGTGATCCAACAACAAAGCACGCACGGTGTACAGTTCCCAAGTTTTGCCTCAGCATCCCAGATACTTGATAGCCTTTTCAGCCTTTTCCCTCCGCAAACATGTTTGTCGCAGCAACGGCTTTAACTTATACATGTAACAGAGGTCTTCCTGTGGAAGACCAACTTCTCTCCTTGCCAATGTTGTACTCAACTACCACTCACTACTCCTTGAATTCAAAGGTCATTGTAGATAAGCATCAAAAGGGTATGAACCTTTGGCCGGAGTGGCTCCTCAAACCTCCTGCACCACATCGTGGCAAGCCTGCTGGCCCTCAGCGGCAGTGCGGGCTTCCAAGTGTCCGGTGTTCCAGGAAAGGCAAAGGCTTTGACGATGGGCTCTACTTGACCTCCGCCCTCCTGCGGAAGTTTCTCCCGCGTGGCTACACGCACTTCCGCTTCACCCGGAACGCCCTGGCGGACGACACGGCGGAGCCGCCGGTGCACGTAGTGCTGCGGGGATTCTTCAAGTTCACAGGCGCCGGCAGCGTGGAAAAACGATGAAAAACGCTCTGGGCGTTCGAGGGCAGAGAAGCAGCAGAGGATAGCAGAGGCCTTGCCACGGATCTTGGACAATATTTGAGTCTGGAAAGCCAGACTTTAGACTCAGACCACTAAGAGACACCTCAGAGCATTTTGACAGGTCTTTGGTGTTGGGAGGTTTGCTCCTGGTCATCTCAGCACAACCCTGTTCACTCAGAGTGTGAAATTCCTCCACAAGGGAGTTGAGATTGATTTGGGTATGATGTGTGAGAAAGAATGAATCCACATGAAGAAACGAAAACACTTGAATTTTTGGTGCAACTTTCAATCTTTGCAAGAAGAAGCCGCCCACTCTTGCAGACACGTTTTGATTTCAGCCACCCCTCCGATGACACAAAAAAAAGGCACTGCAATTTTTGCATATTTTTGCAACTCTTTCAGGGCTCACTGCAGCGGACGAGGACGAGGAGTCCAAGGCCACAGAGGATGCCAGTGCCTTCCTCTTCCAGGGGCACTTTGGATGAAGGGACTTGCCATGGGGGACATGAGCTTTCACCCAAAAACATGGAAACGCTTTCTCTCACGTTGAAAGAAACAAAAGGTCAGAAACAAAACATGCTGTTCGTTCTTTGCCGTGCTTTGGACGGATTCGTTTTGACATGCCAAGGGTGGCAAAACAGCGCCCTTGGACTGTGACAAATCAAGCAAGATGAACCGCACGAGGTACTCGATGGATGATGCTCAGCGCTTCCTCGTCACGACCAAATCCAATGGCGAGAACGGGAAATATACCTTTCGCCGGATCTTTGGAGACTGGTACTGTTCCTCGGCTGTTTCAAGCCTCTTCTGCCTGCCGCACACGCCTTTCTTCTATTTTAGTGCTGCTCAAAGCGCCGGCCGTTTCCTTCACAAGTGCACTGCGTGCACCTCGTCGACTCCTGCTCCGGACTCCTTGGTGCCTGAAGCTTTTCGAAGCCTTTCATTTCGCCATGTTAAAAGCATGTACAAACCTCCTGGCATCCGGAACATTCTTGAATGTCACCGGAAGTCTTCTCTATGACATGTAATTACTGGGTTTATTATCTGGGTTTATATAAGTATGTCACCTCAGAGGTGAGGGGCGCTGCTTAGCCCCCTTGTTTGCGTACCAGCAGACAGACATGGTGGGAAACACTGAGAGCCATTCATTTGAGAGGTTAACAGGGCAGGTCCGAGAGAATGAGCAGATTTCGCCAGGACAACCGCATCAACAGCGAAGATTGGAAACTGTCAGGCAAAACACGGTTTCTGGATGTTTTTGGTCTGTTTTTTTCTGGAGTCCTGTGATGAAACCTCATGGGTGGTGAAACATCGTGATTCCGATTCCTTCTTAAGTCATAGACATCCAAAAGTTTAGGGTCAAGTCTGACCATGCTGGTCCATGCTGGCCCAAGCTGTCCATGCTGTCCACGTCAGACTGGAAGGGATCAGATCCCGACCTCCCGGTGTTCACACCAGTGTTCGGGTGTTCCCGGTGGTTGGACTGATGGCGGAGGTGGAACTTTTGGAAGGAACGAGGTTCCTGAGTTGGCGGCGCCTGGCAGCGTCCCTGGCGGCTGGAACTTGAAGACCAAGAGGAAGAATTGGCTCAGACTTTTTTCACCTCTAAAAGTCTAGGAGCCAAATGACGAATAGCATGGGCTATCCTGTGTCCAGTAGCTATACTGTAGTAGCTTGCTAGCCTTAATTAATTAGACGCCTGCTTATATTACAATTACGTAAGGGGGGCTCAGAGTTTCAAAAGCTCTTCCTGCGGTTTTGATATGCTTGAAATGGCCCGTTGTTCCCATTGCCACGGAGCATCTCCGTTTCGTTCTGACCCAGCCTCGCTGGCGAGGCTTTGCTGGTTCCAAGAACACGGGGCACACCTGGAAGCCGCCTGGATGCAGGAGCAACAAGCCACCCATCGATTTTCTAAGGTAGATGACAAACGTAGTCTACAGATGTCTACAGCAGAAATGAATTTGATTTTGTCAGGACATTTTGTTGCAAGATACGTCGAAAGCTTACATTTTTTGGCCAGGTCATTCCAATTTCATTGTTTCTTTGGGTGTTTTCTGGATGGTAACTATTTCGGGGGTTCACGGTTCATGTACTGGTACAGTGGGATGTGCATCCAACAAGCTAGACTCCAAACAGGTATCCTTGATGGACGAAGTCCTGTACCAGCAAGGAATCGCATCTCTTTTCGATTCAAAGTTTTGGGGCTGCAGGCTTTGTCTTGGAATCTGGCCCCCATCCATTTTCCACAGCAGCTAGCAGCTCGAAAACGGGTGAATTGTATCCAGTTCGCGATCCGACCCCCCCGAAGCATGCCGACCCACACCGACCCACACCGACCCGCGCCGTTCGATCTGGACCGGTCTGAGGCTGGGCGCCTCGGTGGCCGAGCTCTTCCCGGTGCCGCAGGACGCCGTGGCGGCCGTGGCGCCGAAGATCATCGCCTTTGTGGATCGGTCCGGGGACCTGACGGAGGGGCACCGGACGCGAGTTCGGACCGCTGGGAAGAGGGGGGGGGGGAACGCATTGGACGGCGGATTGGCAGTTGATTGGTCGTGGTTCTCGAAAGCAATGAGGAGTTTTGGAACCCTGTAGGGAACTACAATTGTGACGAACTGCATTTTTCCAAGCGAACAGGGACACCTCGTCGGTGCCGCCAAACCTCAGTGCATGACACTTAGAGTCTTAGAGATCGGTCGTGGACTTGTAGGTCGGGTGTCATGCCGAAAAAACGCAACTTTTCCTCCTACACACGACTTGCGGTCCCGCTGTCCGCCCCTCGAAGCCCTTCCACTATGTGGGGTGCCAGAGGGTGTTGCTATTGCACAGAACAAATTGTGAAAAGAAAACGTGCAACCCCATCTCACGGAACCGATCTAAGACACAGCATCCGAGAGAGAAAATCGAATTAACGGCGGCGAATAGCTCAATCCGGTGCCAATTCATCAAGCGGTTTCTTCAATCGGATATATTTCTTAACCTTTTGGTACAAGTTGTACCGTGTTCGAAATGGTTTCTCCGCGGGGAGATTCGAGAAAGTTTCGGCAAAATCAGTACAAACCGGCAACGGAAAACGAACATCTCGAGGATAGGGCTGTTCAGGAAGGGCTGCATAGTCCGTCATAATTTTTACAGCTTGTGCAGCATAAGGCAGTGACGGACGGGCAGCAATGCCGCCAACAAGTGTCCGATGAAACCCAAGACGAACCAGTGAGGACGCACAGGTTTTCTTATATCGAGGAAACAGCTGACATTGCATGGTTCCTTCAAGATAACGGACGATGCCTCGCAGCGTAGATGCCTGGTAACACAAACCGTGAGCCGATTTCGGTTGAAGCAATGCTTCGGGAGAGTCAAAAGCATATGGTTCGAGAATTTTGGAATGAGAGTTAGCAACTTTTCCTCCTAAAAATCAGTCCAAACCCGAAAGCCGCCCCCAACCAAACCACGTCTGCAAGGGAGATGAAGGGAGTGGGGGGTCGTTTGGTTGGGGGCCTCAAAACGACAGCACCGCCCTGTCGACGGATCCGGGAGGTCCATCAACTCCATGGTGGAGTCGGAGCGAGCGAAGCTCCTGGAGGCGGTGGACCGAAGAAGCTTGGCGGTTCCGGTCCACCGAAGCCCGATCTTTCAGATCTTTCAGGATCTAACTTGGACCCCTGAAAAGGTGGAAAACCCGCCAAATGGAGGGAGATGCCGCATGGAGGGATCCCTTTATATTTTATGTTTTCAAATTCATCAGATGGACAACTAGAGGGACGTGTTCTAAGACTCATTGCAGGACATTTTTTTTGGTGACCTATGACAACCTCTTAGAAAATCCCCTTGCACGACCTGTCACCGCCTATTGCCCCCTTTGCTCGTGGAATGGCAGATAGATTCTTGTTGCAGACTTTTGACTGCTTCCCAGGGTTTGCCCTTCCCACACGATTCCCATCTTTTTGGGTCGGTAAAAAACAAGCCTTTTCTGCCCAGAGGGCGATGGCTCCGTGAATGCTTAGGATGTGTCACCATCATGATCGAGCTCAATGATGAAGCACATGAGCACATCTTTCCCATTGCGACTGGGCCAAGTTAGAGGAGTCAGTCATGAGGAAGCTCCAATTTTGCGGTTTTCTTTCTTTTTCCAATCACAGATCACCACTATGAAGATGCTGCATTTTGCAATAACCTAATCTGAACTTGGAACGGGCCTGCCAGGTGAACCTGTTTCTGTGTCACTATCTGCGCATTGAGTTTGAACATGTTTCAAATCCAACAAAAAAACACAGACTCTGTAGCAAGGACTACCACCAGCACTCGGAACATTTTAGGCGCCTTGGCGGTTCGCCTTTTTCAGGAACGCTCCTGGCTGGACCACGTGGCTGTCTTGGAGCGCTCGGGCTTCCCCTGGCCGCAGCAAGAGGCCTTTGACTTCTTTGATTCCTTTGGCCTGCAGAGGGTGACGAGGCTCGGAGGCAGTGATCCCTGGGTTCCTGAAGTCTTCCCCGCTGTCTATCTGACATGCCAACGGAGAAAGAAGGTGAGTTCCCTTGACCAAATGTTTTGCGACCTTGGGAACTGGTGCCTTTGGGGGCTTGTGTCAAAACTGACCTTGACTCTTTGCAAACCATGGTAACACGCCCCCTCACAGCCGTGTGAATGGGACATGTTTTGTTAAGAGTCATGTGTTTTTGTTACAGTAGTTTAGAAAAAAGTCATTTGAAGCAAATAATATTTCAAGGCTTGCGCCCAAGAGCGGGCCGGGCAGGCAAGCAGGGCAGGTGCAGGCATCAGGCGCGCAGGTGCAGGTCCTCGTCCTTTTCCTTTGCCGTATCCTTGTTCTCATCCTCGTCCTCTTTCTCTTTCTCTGTCTCTTTTTCTTCCTCCTACCTTTCTCTTTCTCTTCCTCTTCCTCTTGTTCCTTCTCTTCCTCGTCCGCTTGCTCTTGCTCTGGCTCTTTCTCT